CCGAACATAGCGCATGACTTGCTTCATGCTTGGGCATTGTAGAGTAGAGGAGTTCCACCCGGGTAGAGGAGTTCCACGGGTGGAACTCCTCTACTCTAAAGTAACACGTTGTTTCACAAGACTCATCAAAGATCGTGCATTATTTGTGACACACGAGTACACAATTTGGCGTTTCGCTTGCGACTCGTCCCTGCGTGCACTTGATATCCTGCGTTAGATTTCTGATGCCTCACTTGGCTCATGATGGGAGTAATAGATGAGTTACTGGATTAATCATGTAGAAACTGCAACTCCAGTTGTAGAGCAGTTCGCGAGAAACCGCTCCATGCACTCAACACTCCACACCGCTCCCATTTTGAATGCCACGTCGAAAATTACCACTGGTGATTCCACGACCCGTATTTTAAAACGTTAGAACCACGCATATCATCGCGGCATATGTGCCTCACTCATGTTATGCAGCTTGGTCTCCCCCCAGATGTTCAGTATTCGCCTCATCCAATCTATCAACCACGACGCCAGAATACGTCATGAAGAGGATATGCATCGTATATAACAAGGACTAACGTTATATCCCCGATTGCATACGCGTAGCAGAAAGATTAGGAATGGCGCATGAGTGCATAAACGCATTTCCGCTGTGCCTAAGTTGCATTGTCCACGACAGCGTTCGACGGGGCAGCGGGGCTCCGAGTTGACCAGGCTCAGAGCAAAGTCCGAGCCACGCGGTCTATGTACAAGCAACTCCGTCCAAGCGTGGTATTCAGAGGTCGTAAAAAGTCCGGAACTATGAGAATCGACTATAACTTGGGCAAAATACAGGTATATGCTAATGGCCAGTCTGGTCGGATCGCCTGTCAGCACCAGCTTGGCTGGTAGCCTCTTCTGTCACCTCTTGGAAAGAAAAGGTACCGTGCGCTTATGTCAACCTGAATACGAGAGGATATGAATTGCGTATAGAATAACACTACGAGCATGAATAATACTCAAAGATGCATGAACCTCCATAGTAAGAAATACATCATATTGGCGCCATGTAATCTTCTTAACCTTTAACTACCTATTCTCCCTCGTCGTTTTGGTCTTCGCCGATGCTCCTCCACACTCCTGCGTTTGCCGGCCATAGCTTGCTCGCGTTCTGTAATGGTGTGTAAAGGAGAGTTTGCCTCTATCCCTGTCTAATTCTACATTTTACATCGTTCGTCCCGGTAGCCAGCCCCACTCCAGTCAGCCCCGTCCCTCCCTGCAGTGGCTCTGAGGAATAACCCCGTCAAGCCAGTGCACTGGATGGAGAAGTTGTGGATAGGAACTTGGCCGATGCGATGTCTATGATAATTTCTACTTTGTATTCGCGATTAAATTTACTAAATTTTAAAGGTATATAACTTAACATGATACCCAGCGCTATGTTATTCTACTATAATGCTCTGCTCTAGCCTCTATGTAAGGGGCTTAGCTGGAGCTGGTTTAGCAAACAGCTGCCTTTGTGCTACGTAAGACGTGTTGCTTTCGATTGGACGCAAGGCAAGGATAGGGATATAGATAACAGATTATGCTCATGAGTCAGTCCTTACACTTGTTGCTTTAGTTACGCAGGTATCTGTTAGGCTATCTTTCAGACCGCATAAGATGTGTCCCTTACTCTTAAATTAAGGTTGGGATAAAAGATCATGCTCACTGGTTGCCAAGCTTCGGTCAGGCTGAAAAGTGCCTTAGGGTTCGTAAATTCTTTAACGCCTTATAATATAAATAGTTACTGTGATAAGTACAGTAAAGACATCCATCCATTGAAGTTCCTGTATCCTGTACGTCTTTCTTCTACAAGCCCATCTTCAGCAACCCACCCGCAGCTCCTGCTTTCATAATGGTGCCTAAAACCGCTATTACACTAGCTGCTGCATTTTCTGCTGTGGCAGCAGCGGCAGCATCTATTGAAAAAAGGATAACTGGAGGAGAAGAAGCACAGGAAGGAGAGTTTGGACCCATCGTTAGTATCCAGTCGCAGAATGGTCATTTTTGCGCCGGCAGTTTATTGGATAGCACTACTGTTCTTACTGCTGCTCATTGCGCCAGCAACACTTACGATGATGACCGACCTGTCATTGCGAGGGCAGGAACGCTAGTAAGTCTGCTCCATTTTTTTATTAGGCTATCGCGTTGATTACTGGAGCATCTAGCACCTCGGTGCTGCTAATAGAACGTTGACAACCAGCACAAAGCTAACAACATAATCATACAGGACCCGAATACTGGAGGAGTAGAGGCAAAAGTCGTAGCCGCTCATAGACCTGACCATGATAAATTGAATCTTACAGGAGAGTATACAGAGGCTTACTGGCTTAATGACATTGCCATCTTGAAATTATCAACTCCGATCGAGAAGAGCGACAAAATTGGGTATGCGACGCTGCCAGCGGACGGCTCGGACCCCATGGCCAATTCTACCGCAATAGCCGTGGGCTGGTAAGTGCTACCTAGCTTAGCATTATAAAATTTAAACCAAAAAGATGCTAACTAAGAGGGAAGGGGCACACAAGGTGCGATTACACCTGTCCAGCATGGCTGGGTAGCTAGTAAACTTAGCAAGGTCACCATTCCTATTCACGCACGGGAGAAGTGTTCGAAGCTGGATTCGGGTGCTGCTGGTAGAGACACAATAGTATGCGCGGGTGGAGATGGCAAAGGTATATGCAAATTTGATAGCGGTGGTCCTCTTATTGACCAGAAAATGGGAGATTTGATCGGTCTCTCGTCGTTCGGAATAGAGGACGCAGAAGGCAACTTATGTAACCTGGCTCCCGCAGTGTTCACCAGAGTCAGCAGCTACATTCCTTTTATTAAGGAATATCTTGGGGCGTCTGGTTATCCTAGTTCTGAGGAATTGAGGATAAGAAAGGCCACCACGGAGGTGGGGAAACATTGTAACCGGTTCCTTAACGACGCGATTGCCTGTCGGGCCGCAGCAGGTCCCTGCATAGCTGAATGGAAACCCGACACAACTACTCAGGAGCTCCGCCAATGCGTTGACAGAATGCAAATTTGTGCTGACCAACGGGAGCCGGGCAAACACGGTCAATGCATAAACAATGCAAAGATTTGCATTGGACAGGAGGATATGACTCCCGGGGATCTCGACGTGCTTGCTCAGTGTGCCAAGAAGGACCTCTAAGTAACGACTAAAATACTACGCCACCCCTTACACGTTAGAGCAGTTGACTGCAAGGGGTAGAATCATCCGAAAGCTGAGAGTTCCGTGGACCAAGCTGTTATTATAGCCATTACACTAGTTAGTCATCTAGTTAAGCTTTGAGCAATTGTGTAATTTTTTATGCAGAACTCTAGTGTGTCTTGTAGGGATTTTGTGTAAGAACCTGTTGTCTCCTATGACGCTGATCCCTCATCTTCATCTTCATACCATCCGGGGGAGACTCATAAAACAGGTGACTACGATCAAATGGCGCATCCAACATCAGGCCCTGGAGCGTTTTCACAGGAGAGACAGCTACGTAGCGCAGACCTGTCTGAAAATCCTGGCAGGCAGGGTGGCGATCAACTCAACCCAACCAATCTCAGCCGTCTATTGAGTGAGTTGGCCGCTTAATAAGCAATTCATCCGTTGAGTTGATCAACCTCGACCCTATATTGAGTTTGATTGACGTTGAGTTGACTAGTTGACGGAACACCATACCCGCACGGCGGGTTCCACAGCAAGAGCGCGGAACCCTATCAGTCAAGACAAGCTTACTCCCACCCAGCCTCTTCCTTCCGCGTCTGCATTTGCAAACCCTTAAGCCATTCTCCTATCCCCTCCTCCTCAATCACCTGCTCTAACACTGCTTCATCTGCTTTGTCCAGCAGTATAGGATCAACTTCATCTACAATGCCTGCCTGCAGCCATGACCGCAGCACTTGGCAGATAGCAATCGTGCTTGCCTCCAGCTGGTTCCGAAGAGGTGTTACCATGCGCCCCGCCGCCGAAAATAATCTCTCACACTCCGCGCTCATCGCCTGGGCTGTCATGAAATCCAGTGCCATTCGCGAGAGTCTGGGATACTTGAACCGCTGCGCATGCCAATAAGCCTGCGGGTCCCGGACATCACCATCCGTAGGTAACAG